CCCTTCTCCCTTTCTTGCTATCAATGTCCTTATTCTTGCAGCTCTCTACGACCTTGTCATCGGCGTTCACCTCCTCGGCTAACAAGATCCCTCCGTCTCCTGACCCTCCGCCAGGTCTCCCCACCGACTCGACAAGGTGGGTGACTTCATCTTGCACCTCGGAAGACGAAATAACCGCATCGTTCTTGCCCCAAATCTCGGAACTCGGAGGCTTTGCAAGAGGTTCCCGATGTGCGTCCAACATGGAGGAGGCAGCAGGTGAGGCAGAAGACGAGGAGATACCCAGGGCCATCGGCACAGACACAACTGTGTCTGCCCCTTGCCCGGAATCATGTTGCTCCATCGTTTCTTTGGAACACAAATTTTATGCAACATGCCAACCCATACCTGCCACCAGCACGCCCCGTAGTCATAGGCTTGCATGCGACACAGAACATCTGTATAGGGCACACCCTTTGTACGCTCCTGCAGCTTCCTTCAGACTCGGTTTCCTCTCTCGAGTATTCTGAACAGCATCCAAAATCCGCTCCTCCGCCTGAATCGTCAACTTTGTCATTGAGCTAAAGCGTCCACCTTGCTCCACTTACTCTAGCCACGTCGCAATTTTGGTGAACAAGCCCACCCACAGTTTCCTAGAGTAACAGAGTCACAGCTATGAATCCACAAATTTGTCGAAGCAATGCCGTGCAAAACCTAACCATGTCCAGAGCCAATTAGGGTTTTAGGTTTATAAGTACGGTAGTGTGGACCACGGTGCTCACCATGGACTCGCGTACAAAAGAAACGCTTCCAACAGCTTCACAACCAGTTTTTTATTTCTGCAAAAATGACCTAGTGACCAACGTTAGGCAAGATGCAAGAATATGGCACGAATCAAGGGACAAACCAGCGGTTGAATAATTGAGGACGGGAGATCTTAACAGAGACGTCTTCCGATAGGATCATGGTGCGAAATAGCAGTCCGACGCCAAGCCTGAAGACCAATTACTACACCTCGTGTGCAACAAAACCAGCACAACGTCGCATAACACGGGGTGACCGACTACATCTAGCCATCTCCAAAAAAATTCGCAACATTTACACCTCTTCTGCCAACAACCTAGCAGAACACAGGCTCGAGAGACCAAGCAACAAGTAAAATTATGCATGACCGGAGACGAAATCGAGGTGCACGGGGAGGGGAATTGGGACTCACAGCGGAATCGAATCGTTCATTGCGAGCTCATGACAAACCCGATGAGAAAGGGTGTCGCGATCATCCGTGTCGCCACTGCCAGCTACGAGAAGAGGAATCGTTACGGTGATGAAGGGCAGCGCGGGGCCTTTAAGTGGTGATTTACTTACGGAAACGGAAATATGCTCAGGATGGCGCGTATTGGAGCTAGAAACGACAGACAGATAGATGCGGAGGTGACACAGACAGTGCGAGGCAAGTCCGACTAGAAATAGGAGGAAGAGGAAGTGGAGGAGGAGGAGTAGCGGGAGGGATAGCGGGAGTATTGGCAGGGGCCACCAAATGTGGCGGGCCTCTCTTCCCCCAAACTGGAACCCCGCCTCTATTCTCTCACATTTGCCCAACTAAACTGCTGCATTGGCCCTCTGCAGGGTGCCAATTTCACTTTTATACTAATATTTCAGATATAACTGTGTGTATATGTATGTATATACATACATATATATATACACATACCGAGAGAGCGAGAGAGACTACTGGAGGTTAATTTTGTATTGTTTATGTTTTCATCAAATAACATAAGTTAACATATATTTTTTATTTTTTTATTTTCTAAAATGTCTATAAGTGAAATATAATGGTAGGTTTCATATAGCTTTATTTTCTAAAATAAAATGTGTAATTTCTATTTTAAAATTTTATATCTGAATTTTTTTTTTCTTTATTTTTTATTTTTTTATATACGTATTAGTTGTAGGATCAAATGAATAAACAAAACCTTTGAGTGGTGTGGGAAACTTGTACTGTTTTTTGTCGTAAAGAGACTCGTGTGATGTAGATAATACATGTAGGACTTGGACTGTAGGAATTGTATTTTTTGCATAAATATTGGGTCCTAGAAGTGAGAGTTATCAAAAATAAGATTTAAAATATTTAAGTAGATAACTAAAACATTTACAGAAGTAAAAATTTTCTGATTTAGAAATATACAAAATATAATGTCCAAATTTTAAAATATTAAACTCTTTTGTTTATTTACTTATTTAAAATGTATGCACTAATAATTAAGAAAATTATAAAAATATGTATTTATAAAATTTTATTAGTTGTCTCTTTTGTATACATGCATACATACATAGCTTAAAGTAGGCTTACTATTGAGTAATCTATTTTTTAATTATAATTTTTTCTAAAATTTACGTATTTTATATAATGTTTTTGGAAAACCATGTTAGTCTAAATACTTCTTATATGAATCCATGACATTTTAAAACTGTTATGATTTTTTTTTATTAAAAAAATAGTAAAATTCAAATTCAATAAAAGAATTATAAATTCAAAAGTTACACCTAATTTTTTACTATATATTTTAGTAAAATAATAAAAAATTATTTAGTACAATAATTACTTAGATATATAAATATTTTTAATTTACATTAATTTTGTAATAATGGGTTTAATTTTGAGTTAGGTTTCCTTGAGATTATAGGTTCTATTTGTTTGATGGAAGTTTTTATGAAAAGAATAAAATACAAATTATAAGTAATAATTTCAAAGTATTTTACTCTAAATTCAATTATGTGTAGATTAAAAAAATATATCATTATAATAATTTATTTAAGAATTAATTAAAAACATAAAAAAGTATCAAAGACAAAAAAATCTTTAAATTGTTAAATGGAAATTTTTAATTTTAATAGATGATATTTTATACAATTTCAAATATGTGAAAAGTGTTTTAATTATATAATTTTTAATATTTTATAAAAATAAAATATCTTTTTATTTTCTTTCAACCTTAGGAAACATATTTTTATTACTTAATATAGAAGTTAATTTTCTTTCAATATAAAACAAAATTCGTGTACTTTTCTTTTATATTCTATAATCTTGTAATAATTTATATTTAAGAATTTATTTATATTTTATTTTATTTTCAATTAATTAGTATATAATAATATTATTTTCAATTAATTAGTATATAATAATATTATTTAATATTAATTATTATGAAATTATGTAGCTATTAATTTAAGAGAAATCCAATGAAATTTGATTTTATTGTAAAAAGATAAAGAATCATACTTTGGTTACTAAACCGATTTTCTTTTTTAAAAAATAAATCCCAATTAAATGCAATATTTAAGTTTTTGAAGATATTTTAAATAATATTCAGTGATTTAAAATATCACTACAGTTTTAACATTTAAGAAAAAAATACTTATGTAAAAAACATATCCAATGTATATGATATTTATTGAAATTTTGGTATTTATATTGAAAAAAAAACTTAAAGAAATAATTATGTGATTTCTTTTAAGAAATTGGAATTTATCATTAAAAAACTCAAGTATTTTTGTTGATATACCATTAGTATTGCAATTTATTAGAAAATAGATTAAAATGGTGCAAAAAAATAAGTTTTTTTTTTTTTTTTGGAATTTTCAAGAAATAGATGCATCAAACTTTGCTTTCGATGCAATATTGTCACAAATAGGGATAGATGACAAATTCCACCTAATAGCTTTTTATTCTAGAAAATTTTCAATAGTAGAGATTAATTATGAAATCCATGATAAAAACTTCTTATAATTATAGATTCTTTTTAAAAATTATGCCATTATTTAGAAAGTGCTTTCAGTTGAGTCAATGCATATATAGATTATAAGAATCTTAAGTACTTCATATCAACACAGGCATTGAATCATTGCTAGGCTCGTTGGAATATGTCATTTTCAAGATTTGATTTTAAAATCACTTATTAACATGAAAAACTATAAAATTTGTCAAACTTACTTTCTAGACATTCTTATTGTGTACCAAAAGAAGGAGATGTAGCTTTTGATCTATAAAGAATAGTCATCTTCAAGCTCAAGTAACTTCATCTTTGAGCAATAAAATCAACATTGATTGTTGATTCAATCTTTGTTAAGCAAATTCAATCAAATATATCCTCTAATCTTTTTTTTCATGATAATAAGAATACTTCTTCTAAGTCTTATGGTAGTTCCAAGTTTGAGTTCAAGAACAACTTGTTTTATTTTAAAGATCACCTATATGTTTTAAAAGGAGAAGCTTGTTACATGTACTTCACATTTATCACAACTTTGTAGCAATAGGACATTTTAGATATAACAAGACTTTGGAGCTTATATCTAGAGATTTTTGGTAGCCACAAATGTGAAAGGTTTTGAAAGACTTTATATAGTCATATAGTATTTGCTTAAGGTTAAAAAAAAAAAAAAAAAAAAAAAAAAAATCCTTATCATTAATCTTATAAACTTCTCCAACCATTGATTATTCCAAAACAACCATGGTCTTTTGTTTTAGTAGATTTTATTATGGATTTTCCATGTTCAAATTCATATGATTCTATATTTGTCATTATGGATTATTTTACTAAAATATTATAATTTATACCATGTATAAAAGTTATTTTTGGTAAAAAATATCTAAGCTTTTTTTATTAACATTTATTACCATCATGGATTGCTAAAAGTTATTATATTAAATATAAGAACACAATTTGTATGAAGATTTTAGAAAATCTTTTTTAAGATATTAGAAGTGGATATAAAATTATCTTATACCTTTTATTTTCAAATCGATGGACAAGCAAAACAAATAAAAACAAATTTTGAAGGAATATTTGAGGTATACCATCAATTATCATCAAGATAATTGAATAACCCATATGCCAATAGTAGAATTTGCATAAAATAATTTGGTATATTTTTGTATTTAATAGACATTTTTTTTTCTTCTAATTATGGTCACCAACTATGATTAGATATCTTTGACTTTTTAAAAGTTGATAATCTTGTAGCAAAAGATTTGGCAAATTGTTTGCCAAAGCTACATGAAATAATGAAGGCGTAGTTAAAAGAAGCTCAAAAAGAATAAAAATTCAATACCAATGCATAATAGAAGAAACAACTAAAATTTAATGTAGATGACAAGGTATGGTTACTTTGTAGCAAAATAAAGACTATTCATTCTTGTAATAAGTTGGATTATCATAAGTTTAGAACCTTTCTTATTTGTAAACAAATCAATCTAATTACTTATTAATTACACCTATTAAAGTTAATATAGATCTAATCTATATTTCAAGTATTTCTTTTTATGCCATACAAGATAGTAAATATATTTAGAAGAAGACAAATACCACCACCTTCTATAAAAAGTAGATAATTATTAAGAGTTGAAAGAAGAAAAAATCTTAGATTCATAATGGTGTTAAAATGTGTTAAAATATCTTATTTATTAGGGTGGATACAATATTAATAAATACTCATAGGATCGAGCAAAGAATCTTGCAAATATAATAGAGAAGGTTAAAACTTTTTATCAATGATACCTATTAATATCAAGATGACAAGTTAAGTAATTCTTTGCTATAAAAAAAAGACACTTAATAAAGATATCATCTTATCTTTAATCCTTCATTGTAAATTCTTTGTATTTTAATAATAACAACAAGATGGAGATTTTGTAATTAATAGATTCAACTCAAGAACCATCATTTGTTAACTTATTTAATAAGACATTATGATTGTCACAACCTTGAAGACCATGTAATTGAAATGAAGATCCTTAAGAATGACATGTTCTGCTTCAAATGGATGGCAAGATACAATGTGTTTGATACCATGACTTTGGAAGAGACTTTTGATGCTTGATAATTTTATTAGAGATTGGAACGACTCCTAACGGTGTAACAAATATTTTGGTTTAAGGAAAATTATGAAGGCCTCAACAATGATTAAATAATAGGATGGTCTTCTTACCATAGAATGGAGATATTATTAATGGCTGAGAAGACCTCTTAACTATCTTCAAATAGAACAATGATGAGAATATGTGGCAAATATAATTTGTCACATCTTAGACTTAATCAACATATAATCACCACTCTTTATGAAATTTTTTTCTAGAAAAGAGAGTAATATTACAAACTTATAGTTACTTTGATAATTATATAGGTAATATAATAAGGTGGAAGTGAATAAAAATATCGATAGCTCTAAAGGACCACCATAAAACCACTTTCACTACACCTTGAGGCACCTTCATTTATGTAGTGATGCTCTTTGGACTTTATAATGCTCCAACAGCATTTCAAAGGGCCATGTCCTATGGCTTGTCTGACCTTTTACATAAGTCAATGACAATGTTTATTGACAACTTTAGTACCCAATCTTCTAACACAACACATTTGGAATGTATTCAAGCTAGTCTTCAACGATGTAAAAAATGTAGGATTGTATTAAATCCTGACAAAATATTCTTAGTAGTTCAAAAGAGAGTTCTACTAGGATATGTGGTATTAGAAAAGGGTAGAGAATCCAATCCAAAAAATGTCAAAGTTATTATAGAATTAAAACCTCTTTCCACCATGAAAGAAGTACAAATGATGTTGGGACACATAGGATGGTATTGAGAAGTCATATAAAATTATGCTACACTTTCCATACCCATAACTCGACTAATACAAAAAGAAGTGAAGTTTGAATGGAGTGAAAAATGCTAAGAGGCATTTAATATCTTTAAAAAAAAACTTAGTACTTTTCTATCTCAAGATCCCCTAATTGGTCATTGTCCTTCTATGTGCTTTGTGACGCTTCATCTGCATTCATAGGGAACACATTGTGTCAAGGAAGTGGGATAAAAAGCAAGGACTATCCCATAGCCTTTGCTAGTAGGCAATTGAATCATGTGGAGAGAAATTATACTACCATGGAATGAGAATTCTTCTATGGTTTTTTCTATTAAGAAGTTCAAACATTATCTTCTCTTAAATCCAGTGGTATTTCTTATGGATCACATGGCAATCAAGCATCTTATGAATAAGACTGATTTAAGTAGTAGACTTGCAAGGTGGATACTTCTAGTAGAAGAATTTGATTATACAGTGGAATATAAGCCAGGCAAGATACACAAGCAAGCAGATCATTTATCTAGGTTGTCAGACCAAATTAGTGAAGCTCCAATTGATGACACATTGATAGATAAAAACTTATTTATTGTTTTAACTATACCCACTTAGTATGAATTAATTACCAAGTTCCTAACAACTCAAGCCTTGCCTCCTCATCTTTCTAAAATAGAACATAAGAAGGTAAGAATTAATAGTAGATACTTTGTCATAATTGGTGGCAAATTATATAGACATGGAATTGACGGTGTCGTATTGTAAATTCTTATAATATGTAAAAATTAGTTAAAATATATTATATATTAATAAATCTAGATGTGTGTTAGACTAGCTAGTAGATTAAATCAAAAAGAGTTAGTATAAGAAACTTTATTTTGATTCTTTATTTATTTTGATTTTGATATTAAAAAAAAATATAGGACCAAAATGTTTAGTATGAAGCCTTGGGAGAAGGTGGAAGCCTAAGGATAAAAATTTAAACTTGTACGAGGCTAATTGGGAGGGATGAAAGCAAGGTATAGTCGGATGAAGACAAGAAATGGGAAACTTCATCTCTATTGGTCGAATACCATGCCCAATGGGCTTTAAGGACGCTGCCTGTGACCTTAACAAGGGTTTCGGCGACTTCAAAGAAGGCATTTGGAACTTAGAAGCTAAAGTTATAAAGTTTAGAATTTGGGGTACAATTTATGTGTAAAAATTAGAGGATTTGGAGTTAGGGTGAAGAAGTTATAGCCGTTTGAAGTTAAGGTATTAATTTAAGATATACTGTTATTCTTTTGAGGATACGAGGAGTTGTACAATAGTTTTTGAAGTTCGGAAGGTGCCAATGGAACAGCGATTTTAAGGCCTACATCTTTCATAAAAAAGTTATTGCTTTTGGAGTTCATATAAAGGAGTTGTAAGGAGTTGAAGGCGGCACTTCTAAATCAAAGGCGGTAAGTGAGCGGTTTTGTTTATAATAATGGTTGGAGCCATAACTTGAGTTTTCGGATGAATTTTTAGCTCAACCATTTTGGAAAATGTAACATTTTGTGTTAAAAAGCTATACATACAATTTCGTGGAATTTGAGCTTATATTTCGTGAGATATAAAGAAAATTGCACGTGGATATATAAAAATAAAGATTTGAAACGACTGCTAGGGTTTTCAAGATATCTCAAGATCCACAATGAATTTGCAGTTGAAATTTGTTGTAGAAGTTAATAAGAATACATCAGTACCTCATACAAAATTTGAATTTGTTCCGATAGTCGGATTAAGTGATATGAGGTGTTGAAGTTCAAGAAAATTTCCACATAAGGATATACAAGGTTTTAGAAAATTTTATCATATATTTGGTGTTGTTGGTTACTTGAGGCTTGTGTATTTGGTGTAATTGCTCAAAAGGAAAAATTTATATATAAACTTAGGACTTTCCTTATTTTGAAGCATGATTGAACGATTAGTAATAGCTAAAAGCCTAGCATTTTCTTGAAGTAAATTCTCTCTACCCTGACAATGTAACTTCAAATATAAAATCAAAGTAAGCTAATAAGAAAGAGGACCATTATGTTGCAATATCTTGACTTCTAATCGACTACCTTCACTTTTTTTGTATATAAGAAATAAAATTTAAAGGAATAAAGAAGAATCAATTGACTTAGTGTACTTTTTGATACAACATCAAAAATCATGGAAGGTTACAATGTAGTCTAGATAAAACTAAACAACAAGAAGAAGTGCATTGGAGCTAAGTCAGATCTTTAATGGCTATAGCTTCACTCTGAAGGCAGAGGTCAATGGTCCAACTAATACTTAGCTTCTACTACCCGGCTTGTTTGATAATTGACCTACTGTCAAGGACATGAACTAGAAATGATGTATAAACCAATAAAATCCATGTCAAAGAAAAAGTAAAAAAATAGAAATAAGGAAGTACGTACATTAAAAAGAAACTGGAATGGCTTATTGCCAAAAGACAAGAAATCTTTAGACTCTTGAATTTAGATTAGAAATAAGAAAGGAATAGACAAGAGTGAAGATGGCTTCACTCTTGCCTCTATATATATTATCTAATTAGGAGCTATGTGGTGATGTTCTATAAGTTCTCTAATATGTGTTGACTTTGCAAGACACATGCCTTAGCTTATAAGGCATGTTTTCTGTGTGTAGGCTATATAGTTAGCTTATTCTTCAAGCTATTAATATATGTAGAAAATGACCAACTTATTAATTACGTTTCTAATCTAAAAAATCAATCAAAGATACCTATAAAATCAAAGCATTGTCTATAAAGTTTATAGAAAGCTTCTATAGAAGATATTATAGAATTGACATATTTTTATTTATTATTATTTAAATATAATTATTTATATAGGTAATTCCTGGCTTATATGTGTATGTCTGTGACATTACCTCCCTTCTAAGGACGAGTTCCATAAAGAGCTTTCATCATATGTTGAGAAAATCTATGATGCGACAAATTATATTTGCCACATACTCTTATATTTGTTCTCTTTGAAGATGGTTGATAGAGCCTCTCAACCATTGATAGTATCTCATATCATGAGGAAAAGACCACCCTATTATTTGGTCATTATTGAGGCCTTCATAACTTCCTTCAAATAAAACATTTGGAATACCGTTACGAATTGTTTTTACTTCTAATAAAATTACCAAATATCAAGAGTTTCTTCCATCGTCGTGATACCAAACACGTTGTATCTTGCCATCTATTTGAAGAAAAACATGTCATTCTTGAGGATCTTCATCTTGATTGCGTTGACTTGAAGGTTGTGATAATCACAATGTCTCTTTCAACAGGTTAGCAAACAAAGGTTTTTTAGTAAAATCCATTGATTGTTGGTTTTCCATCTCTTGAACATCACAAATACAAAGAAGCTACAAACAAATATTGAAAGTAGAATGTTATCTTGCTCAAATCTTATTTTTTTTATAGAAAAGGTCTTCATTTTGATTTTAATGGATATTATCGATAAAAAGCGTCTACCTTCTTTCACCATTTGTAAGATTCTTTGCTGGCTCCCATATGCATTCACTAATATTGTATTCACACCAATGAACAAGATATTTCAACTTATTTTGGCGCCACCTTAAGTCTAAGACTTCTTCCACTTCAAATTCTTCATTATTGTCCACTTCTATAGAAAGAAGTGGCACTTGTCTTCTTCTTGGTATGTCGACTATATTGTATGATTCAAGAAAAAATACGTAGAATACTAGATGGATTTTTACTGACTCTAGTAAGTGTAAATGATATGCAATTGGATTGATTTGTGTATAAATAGAAAATAGTCGAAGTTTACAATAGTCTAACTTGTTACAAAGATGAATAGTCTTAATATTGCAATGAAGTAATCATACCTTGTCACTCATTTAGAATGGTGGTTGTTCCTTTTTATGAACATTTGCATTGATCTTTTGTTGTTTTTGAGCTACTTTTAACTACGTCTTAATTATTGCATTTAGCTTTGAAAAATAATTTACCAAATCATCTGCCACAAGATTGTTAGCTTCTAAAAAGTCAAAAGTATCAAGTTGTAGATGATAACCATAATTGGTAAAAAAATATATTTATTTTGTAAAAAAATATAATATATTATTATAAGCAAACTTTGCTAATAAAAAAAGAATTGTCCAATCATCTTATTGATAGTTGATGGTACATCTTAAATACTACTTCAAAACTTTATTAATACTCTTTCTTTGTCCATCAGTTTGAGGATAGAATGTTGAAAATAATTTTATTTTTACTTTTAGAATCTTGAAAAAAGTCTGCCAAAATCTTGATACAAATCGAATTTTCCTATTTGATATGATATCCTTGGATAATCCATGATAGCAATAAATGTTGGCAAGAAAGAATTTAGCTGTTTCTTCACTTGTGATAGATTTTATACATGGTACAATATGTGCCATGTTGGTAAAATGATCTACTATCATGAATATAGAGTCATAAGAACTTGAAATTGAAAGATCTTCGATGAAATCTATAAAAATAGAAGACCGTGGTTGTTTGAAAATAGATAATGGTTGAAGAAGTCCATAAGATCGATGACGGGGAGTTTTTGATCTTTAACAAATGTTGCATGATTGAACAAAGTCTTTGACATCCTTTCATATTTGTGGCCACCAAAAATCTCTGGATATAAGTTCTATAGTCTTATTGTATCTAAAATGTCCCACTGCTGGAAAGTCATGACATGCTTGAAGAATACATAATCGTACTTCTTCTTTTGGAACATATAATCAACTTTCAAAAAAGAGTAGGTTATTTTTGAACTCAAACTTAGAAGTGTCTTGGGCCTTTAAAGAAAGATTCTTGATATTGTAAAGAAGAAGATTAAAAGACATACTTGATTGGATTTGTTTCACAAGGGTCAAATCAATATTCAATGTTGATTTCATTATTTAAAGGTGAAAATACTTTGATTTCAAGAAAATCATTCTTTGTTGATCAAAAGATGCATCTCTTTCTTTTGGTATAAGATAAGACTGTCTAAAAAAAGTATCTAATAAATATTCTTTTCTGGATCAATAT